ATTTTTTAACTTGAAAATGGTGCCAGGATGACACCGAAACGTCGTTGCTCAGTTTTTTCGCTAATCTTTACTGTTAACAATACTAATACTAATACTAATACTAATCCTAATCCTAATACTAATACTAATACTAATACTACTACTAATAATAATATCAATAATGATAATAATAAAGATTTCATAACGCTGTTTTCCTAAAGTTACAATACAGGGAACTTCTAAAAAATATGTAAAAATTAAAAACATTAGTCTAAAATAGATTGCAAAAAGGCTTTTTTAAAAAGAAAAGTTTTGAGTCTATTTTTAAAGACGTACACAAACGAACTATTTCTTATTTCACATGGTAGAGCATTCCATGGTATTTCCCATAAGTAAAATCTTGAAAATAATACGTTGATTCACCCGACGCCAATGAAGATTAACTGAAAAGGAACGGGAGTAATGTGATCATGCTTTGTTGTAAGTGTCATGAGGCATTCTGGACGCGTTGTAACCTTTTTATAGTGCAGTTTGGTAGGCCAAACAGAAGGGCATTGCAGTGATCCAACTTTGAAGATACAAAAATATGAACAAGTAGTTCAGTGGTGGTCGGTGTAAGTACTACACGTTCTAAAAGCAAATGGGATATTCTAAAACGCCGATTTTTTGGCAATAATCAGCCACTTCAGTGAAATTTTTACCAGGTGCGGTCAAAAGCGAAGTAAGGCTGGCAAGATTTCTAAAGAAGAAGTTAAATTTTGCAACAAAGTCACTTCCTATGGTAAAATTTATCTCAAGAGAGCATGATTTCTTTCAAACGCAGGTGAAAAGAAAAATTTGCACTACACATGCTACGGTACATGGAAATTTCCATGTACCTTCCTACACCACACACGTTAAGGTACATGAAAATTTCCATGTACCTTCCTACACCACACATGTTAAGGTACATGGAAATTTCCATGTACCTTCCTACACCACACACGTTAAGGTACATGGAAATTTCCATGTACCTTCCTACACCACACATGTTAAGGTACATGGAAATTTCCATGTATCTTCCTACACCACACATGTTAAGGTAGATGGAAATTTCCATGTATCTTCCTACACCACACATATTGAGGTACATGAAAATTTCCATGTACCTTCCTACACCACACATGTTAAGGTACATGGAAATTTCCTTGTACGTTCACCCAATCCCTGTACCTTTGTGCATTACTCTGTAAAGGTACATGGAAATTTCCATCTACCTTAAGATGACACATAAAATGTATGAGGCATATTTATACAGCTCTTAAATCGTTTCCTGTTATGAACGTGTCAGATAGCCCTTAAACGAAATTTAGTGAGTGAGAAGAGGCAGATGCTTCGAAAATATACGATATCACACAAAATTTATTGTAAGATACACAACACCCTGTCACGGTCTTAGCAAGACAGCTTTTTTTGGAAGATTCATGGACCTAGAAATTAAAGAAACAAC